TCGCCGCCGTCGAAGCCGACATCAAGCTCATAGACGTGCGGCACGAGACTGTCGCCGTCCAAGCCGCCGAAGGCTGGGCCAAGGTCAAGGGCAACGACGCCCCCGGCGTATGCTTCATCACAGCGAATTCTGGCTTCTGCAACGGCCTTCCCGGTCTCAGCACCGCCTTCGCGGACCGCTCCCCAGTATTCTGCATCACGAGCTCGCCGCCGCTGCGCGACGCGGAGACGAATACCCTCCAGGGCTTTCACGACCAAGTCGTGCTGGCGAAGCCCGTAACGAAGTTTGCGCATAGGGTTACTAACGGCAGCGAGATCCCGCGCATCGTAAGCTTGGCTTGGAGAGCGACGACGGCGGGGGCGCCGGGACCGGTACTCGTGGATTTCCCCATCGATGTGCTCTTCACGCCGGTAGAGGTCGACAGCGTGGCTTGGGGTTCCATCACTGCGCCGCCGGTATCACTTCCCGCCCCTGATGCCGGCGCGGTTGAGCAGGCGATGAGACTTTGGGGAGAGGCGGAGCGCCCCGTGATTCTAGTCTCGACGGGCGCAGCGAGGGCCGCGGATGAGGTAGAGAAGCTCGCTGAAGCGACGAATACTCCGATTTTCCACTCGCCCAAGTTCTCTACGACCATCAAGCGCTCGCATCCTCTTTTTGGCGGCGTGGCGACTCGGCTTCCGATCTTGCGCACTCAGGGGCCGGCGCCGGATTTTGTTCTTTTACTGGGTGCCAGGACTGGCTTCTTGATCGGTGGTAGGAGCGGTGCGATTGTGCCGAACGAGAGTGAAGCCAAGGTTGTCCAGGTCGATTTGGACGGGAGCGAGATTGGGCGCTCGAGAAAAATCGATGTGAGAGATTTCCCCCGCTCGATATATGGCTTCAGGGGGGGAGGACCGGTTATGCTGACGAGAATTAACACAGGTCGGTATCGTATCAGATGTTGGGCTCGCAGCTCAGGCTCTGACAGCTGCGGCATCCAGGTCGTCCGTGAAGGCCACAAGTGAGTGGGTTGAGAAGGCCATGGCGTTGAAGAAGCCTAGCGTTCACTCGGCTGGAAACGAGGACGACCCGGTGATCATTGAAGAAAACAATCGGATCCATCCCTACCATGGCGTGAAGGCATTCTTCCAATCTCTGCCCGAAGAGAGCATTCTTTGCATGGACGGCGGCGAGTGCGGCGGATGGGCTCTGCAGTCTCTGAACGAGGCGAGAGCGGGACTGTCGATGGTGACGACTGGATATCTAGGCTTCCTGGGCAATGGCTTTGGATACTCGCTTGGTTTGTGACCCGTTATGAGGCATTGCCTGTTATTGTAAGAGTACCGTCGCTGACTTTAAACCAGGTGCCGCCGTCGCCGCTCCAGATAAGCTTGTCGTCAACCTCCACGGAGACGGCAGCGCAGGCTTCCACATTGGCGAGCTCGACACCTACGCCAAGTTCGGCCTCAACATCCTCACAGTCGTGGTAAACAACAGCGTCTGGGGCATGTCGCAGGCCGGACAGAACATGATCTATGGGGAGAAGACGCCGCAGCGACCATGCGTGGCGATGAACCCGAAAGTCAAGTACGAGGTCGTCGCACAAGGGTTCGGTTGCGAGGGGTCGGTGGTGGACGTCGTCAAGGAGAACGGCGCTAGCAACGGACCCAAGACGCTGGAGTCTGTCAAGGTTGCGGTGAGAACCTTGACGAGCGCGAGGCAGCCTTCGTTGCTGAATTTGAAGGTGTCTGATGTGCCGTATCAGAATACTACAAAGGCCATGGTGAGTTTTTGTCCTGCCTTGTCTCCGGGTCTGGTGGATATGAGGCTTACACGGCGTCTAGGTCGGAGGAAGTAGTGATCCCAACATCATTGTCGTACCGTATTACGATAACCTTCCCAGACCGTACTATAAGAAGTCCGAGAATGGTACGGCTGCGTCTGCGAATGCAATTTCGGCGTCGAAGGAGGAAAGCTTCGTCGAAGGTCACGGCACAATTCAGTAATCAGCAATCCATGTATTGACTAAAGTATCGGAAAATTAGTGAATACAATGCTTCGTTGAGTATGGCACAAGAAGGAGCTCTGATCCTGCGAGGAACGAAACTCATCGAGCTTATACTAGCTTGTGTGTCATAACCTCGCGTGCCGTCCTGCATAACTTCCGTGGACTGCGAACCATAACGCGTAGCAGACCTCGCACCATTTGAACCAACAAGCTTCTTTGGAACAACTTCCGGATGCTTCCAGGCTCATGATGCTTGACGTTGACGTAAAGGCCGTTGCTGTAAATATCCATTTCGTCGCCGAGGTGTACCATCCACTCCAAGTCCCTCGGGGATTTTCCCGTGCCAAAATCATACCAAAGTGTCACGCGCAGCGCGTCCTCGTCGCGCAGAATCGAGTAGTCGACCGGACAGCATTGGCAATACCCATCGTACACGTTTCCCGGATGATGCCACGCCGCCTCCATATTCTTCTCAAACGCGCCCCAGTCCCTGATGCCCCAATACCACCACGGGAACAGCTGGTGTCGGCAGATCCTAAAAGAGCGAATCTCGTGGAGAGCCGCATACCCATGGAACTCCTTGATGACTTGTAGACAAAATCTGCCTTCGACGATTCTCGGTATGTGAACAGTTACATTTGGTGAGCCCGACTTCCAAGATGCAGCTCCTCGGTACGCCCTGTATTCGCAAGGTTCTAGGAGCTCCGATAGATAGGCTGCGTTGATGCCCATTCGCCTAAACTTGAGCGCTAGTTCGACGTGGGTGTGTCGGAGCTTGTAGGATCGGCCGAGGGTATCGAGTGTCTCTCCCTGCTGGCAAGGCGGTGTTTGTTGGCTGCGAGGCGTGTCTGAATGGTCCGTTTCGTGGAGTGCGCAACAGCGCGCGCAGACCCAATGATTCGGCAGTCTGTATGCCACCGCGGCCCAGAACGATATTTGCTCAGACTCGGGTAAGGCTAGCGAGGCATCTTTCCAGTCTTTTTCCGTGAGGATCCAACCTGCGCGACAAGTCCGCGAGAACATGAACTGACTCAGAAGATCGAGGTGGCTGATGATCTCTTCGAGCAAGTCAATCGAAATTCCGAGAAGGTAGGCCTTTGTGGGTTGTTGTTTGGGTCCCATCAGCTTCATGACGCAACGGCTTTCGAAGGCAACGGCTCGTTCCCACAAGCGGTTTCGAGGACGAGTGGGAGGCTCGTCGGCCATCTTGGCTGGTTCAAAGAGAGGCCAGAAAGGTGTAGGATGTCATGCTGAGGCCGTAAATCGGGCCCAAGTGGAAATTAGGGCATGCTCAGAGCAAGAGTAACCGGGAAATATTAATACTCCAAGGAAAAACCGGGATCGACTGAAATTCTTTTTTAGGTTCTGTCGTATCGTTGGCATATGCATGAACGCTCAAACGACTATTGAAATCTGGCAGGGCGTTCGCTCAAATGCAATGTAGTGGATCGACCGATCAATAGTCTTCAGCCTCGTTGCCTCGATAATGGTATCGGACATCAAGGGACATACACATCTTTGCATACGATTACATCATCTCAGCTTTCGACTAAGCTCAAAAGACCATCCGAATGCTGAATACGGTAGCATAAGGTAGGTCAACGGCGGCCTACGCCACCTGTTGGAACATGCCATCTCTCAACGAGAGCAGATGCCCGGTCTGACTGTTCAGGAGCTATGTAAGTCACAGAGTCTTCTGGTAGAACCAACTTGAGCTCTGTAGAGCCATACAGTCAGCCTCATAATGTGCTTGAAAGATGACCTGGAAAAGAACAAGCAAAATTGCCTACATTAACCGACAATTAAAGGAGCAAGAACATGAACGGCATGTTAGTTACCTGCTGGTCATGATGCGTACAATCACGAAAAAACAAAAAACCTCGCTCAAAGCTACCAAGACTATGAAAGGATGCAAGAGGAGGACGAAACTTGTCTGGTTAGCACCGCGTTTGGACCGTGGAGACCAGGAGACGACCCCATCATGATCTGCGGTAATATGCTTTGCTACCGGGCACCTCAAGTGGGTTGCAAACCTTCTTGTCGCACATCTCTTTGAAGCTCCCCCTTTAAGAGGCAAAGTTCTTAGCGTTTGCCCCGTATCCGTGTTGAAAGAAAAACAGACTTGATAATAGAGACGGTCACGGAACAAAGCATAAATTAAGAAACAAGGCAGATCTCAAGCCCTCTTCGATAGCAAGTATACTAGTTAATAAAGTAGATAGGTTTATAAGATAATAAATAAATAAAGAGGTATAAAAGGTTTCTATATCCATATTCATACTAGGAATATTCATTAACAAATAAAATTATAAAATAGGAAATTAATAAAGAATTATTATACTCTCCGTACCTTTGCTTATACTATGTGTATTCATTAGTAAATATACCTACGAGGTAAGAAGCTAAGGAAGAAGTCTTGTAGTTCCGCACTCTCGTTTAGACTTAATATATCCGTTAATAAATACGTTCACGAGGCGAACTATTGATAACCCGACGTAGTAATAATCACTTTTGAGACTGTCTAAGAGACTATAGGGAAACGCAAAGGGGTTTATGCCTCCACGACCGGGGCAACAGGATCTCTGAGATCCGCAAAACAGAATGCAGCACCAGTACCTTTGAAGCCTGGAACGGCAATGTTGCTTGTAACACATTGCGGCCGAAGAACTTTCGTCACGTACCTGAGGTATTATTTATATAGACGTACGGCTCAGCGGTTAGGGGAACATGATCTTGAACGTGCAAGGATGCTTGGCACTTAGGCAAATGGTTGAGAGAAACAGTCCTTCGTCAATCATAGGCTACTCATTAGACACTGTCATCTACCTCTCGTTCTAAACGCTCAGAATACTGGTTTCCAAAGCAAGGCCGTGCAAGGGGGGTATAAAGAACTCTTGAAGCAAAAAACCACGACACAACCCAATCCAGAATCCAATCAGCCCGTCATCTCCATGGATCTAAAGCCCATTGTCTCTTACCCACCACGCCGAATCCAGAGACAAGTCGAGGCGACCTAGGCCCTTGCAGATGAAGCAGTGGGACGAGCAGCTGCAGCAGAAGAATTTGCAGCCGTGTCCTCCCTAGTCCTCTCCTCCGCCAAAGTCTCCATCACAGGCTCCTCCCTCTCCTCCTCCTCACCCTCACCACTCCTCTGGCCCGCCGGCACCTGCGGCGCCAAATTCAGCTTCCGCAGCAACTTGACCGCAGCCTTGTTCTCCTCCCTCTCCTCGGCCTCCTTCTCGAGCACTTTCCGCTCCTTGGCAGCGCTCTCGCTCTTATCCTTGGCCTCTTCCTCGCGCTTCCGGAACTCTTCAGGCTCCATAATCTTCTCCTTCTTGTGCGTCATCTTCTCTATCGCCTTCTTGCCCTTTTGCCGCGACTTGACGTAGACCTCGAGCCCGACGAGCACGGCATAGGATTTCGATATCGACACGTGTGACGTGTCGACGCTCGCCTCCTTGAGGTTCTTGACGAAGGCGCGGAAGTTGGACGCCGGAGGGCGGTAGTGCCCGCTGAGCGGCGACAGGCTCGACAGCCGCCCGTCCTTGATCTTGATGAGACCCGCCGAGGAGATGCGGCTGCCCTGCAGGAAGCTCGAGTGCTGAAACGCGCCCGACGACTTGATGCCCACGTACAGCCGGAAGCTCGTGTCCGCGACAAAGATCCAGGTGTTCTTCTTGACCGACTTGCGCAGCATCTTGTTGAAGATTGTCGCTGCTGAGATGTGCGATACCTTCTTCATGCCCGTTGCGCCGTCGACCTCGGGCGTGGCGTACTTTGCCGCGCGATCTGCTTCCAATGCTGACTCTACCGAGGATTCGGAGCGGCTATCGTCGGCGGCTTCGGCTCCGGGGGATGTTTGCGGGGTGTTGTTCTGCGACCACGCCGGCGTCGGGTCGTCTGCGGGCACGATGCCGTGGATGCTGTCCTTGAATGCCTCGGTCGTGTCGATGCGCGCGCCATTCTTGGCCCAGCACAGCCGTCCCTCGTCGTCGACTTGCACGAGGTAGAATTGCCTCTCCTCACGGGACAGGTATCGCACCTGTTCTCTCTCGAGACGATCGCGGGGACACGCCTCCATTTCGACATTCTTACCGCCGCCGTAATCGAGCCAGTAGAAAAAGTTCTCCGTGGTGTCGGACTTTTTCCATTCCTCGTGGTACACGCGCAAGTTACTCCCGTAGCGATGCTTGAGGTCAACCATCTCCAGGAAATACTGCAACCCCATCATCTTGGAATCCTTCTTTCGCCGCGCCACGGCCTCCTCGCGCTTCTTCTTTTTCTCGGCCCTCTTCTCGGGCGTATCTGATTCAGACGAGGACGCAGAGGAGTCTGAGTCGGACTCGACGTCGTCGTGGCCCGCACGCCGCGCAATCGTCGCCGCCTTCCTCCAATTCTCACGGGCTGTCGACGGACGACTCATGCCGCCCTCATCATCTCTCGAAAGCACGCTGTGTCTGTCGCCGGTGGGAGACAAAGCAGCAGCGCCGACGGAGCTCTTTGCGCGCGGCCGGTTCAGCTCGCGGAACTGCAGCTCATCAATGGCCGAGACCCATCTCGTCGATGCGTTTAGTCCCATGCCCTGCATCTCTCTCCGCACGCGATAACCCCGGTAGTTGCGTTGGATCAGCGCCGCGGCCCTGTTGATCGCCTCGCTGTCGTCCTGTTCACTCTCTTTGGTTGAAGCTGGTGGTGGATCTTGCGACATTATTTGCGCTTCGTCGAAAATGTTCCCGGAAGCGTCACCTTGTCCGTCCTGCGAGCGCCGAATGTTGTGAAAGTGGTCGTGGAGGTGTTGGGTCTGGCGCTTCGACTTATTCCTCTTTAGCTCCTCCTCGCGTGTGCGCTGTACCTCTGCAATCTTTTCAAATTGGTCTTGGGATGGCGGGACCAAACTGTCCATGTACTCCTGGCGAGAACTGTAGTTCGTGCTCGTCTGCGACTGCGCCAATGAGCATGTGTCGTCACTAGGAGGGGCCGTTGCAGAATCAGCCGTGTGAGTGGTGGCGGCGGTTGTGGTTGTGGTAGTCGTAGTAGTCGTAGTAGCAGCAGGGGAAAAGATGGAGTGGGATTCGTCTTGTTCGTCGACAGGTCTTGGCACGGGGGGACTGGCCGGCGGGGTAATAACGGCGGCGGCGGCACCGTTAGTAGGAGCACGTTGGTGAAGAGGAGGGGTCTTTTGGGGTGGTGGTGCAGACGCAGACGTAGGCGCAGACGAGGCAGAAGCGTCGCTCGGAGACACGGCACCGCCACCAGAAGCAGGTTGCTGGGCTGGAACCGGTATAGAGTCGAGCTCATGGGCGGGTTTCGTCATGGCGGTTGGTGGGATGGCGGGGTCCGCCCGATCGTGACGAAAGAGTAGGGATAGGGATCTGATCCGAGAGCCGGTTGGCGCAGGCATCAGGCCTATTTTTATGTGTCGCTTTATGTATGTGTATGTGTGTGTGTGTGTGTGTGTGTGTGTGTGGATTAGGTGAGTTGCGTTCGGTGGTCTGTTTCGTTTCGAACTATGACTTTCTTGCTGCTGGTTGGGTTTGGAGCTTGTGTTGGTTCCAAGGTTGGCTTGTCTTCGGAGACAGCAACAACGACGTCACTTTCCTTAATAGCTGTTTGAGGTAGTCACCCGCAAGGTTGATGGTGGAATGGAGTCGGCAGCTTGAGCGTGTAATAAAGCGCAGGAGCCATAAGATGGAACGGAGACGGGGTTGAAGTAAGCATATAATGATTACTATCCGTACGGCTGTCAAGACATGGATGTTAAGACTCCTGAGTAAGGTAAAGCAGGACGGGAAATTGTGTGGTCTAAAATTGGAAGAGAAGGAGAAGGAGGGAGAGCGAAAAGCAGTGTAAAGAATGCGCCCAGGAGGAGTGACTGATTAAGAATATATTGCATTCGTGGGGCGCTCTCAGATCCTCGCCGGTGGCATGGGATTAAATCTCGGCGACGCCTTATGACAAGATAATGAATAGAGTCTACTGGGAAGAGAAGAAAAAACACTACTCCGTACACACAAAAACAAACACTTGCCCGCCTTGCATCATGAGGTACCACGGGGGACACCCTTGCCGGTGGGGTGGAAGAGTAAGGCTTAGGGGCGACGGCAGTGCCAAGTTGCCAACTGTTTCTGGACAGCATAAAAGCAGAAAACTCAGTGATCAAGTTTGCTCAGCCGACTACCGCTGGCGTGTATACCACACCGCGGGCTGTGACGCACGATGGACTGTTCTGCTCGGAATCGCGGATGGGGGCCGTCGGCACGCGGCCGTCTGTCTATGCGCGTATCACCGGTGCCCTTCGCAGTCCGCAGAACCTCCCGAATAGGTGGTGAGCACCAACAGCGTAACACCTACTAACACCTTGAGGGACCTGGAACGGACGGATATCGTAACGACCATCCGCAAATAGCAAATCTATCCAAAGTCCCCTGGATTATAGGCGACCAGACGCTGGGCTTAACTTTCCTCTACCGCTGTCTTTACGAAGAGAAATGGGGCTGAGTTAGGCTTTCTTGTGTCTCGATCTTGTTCAATTTGCAAGGAAAGATCTTTGGACCCCAAAAGACCCTTGACCATTCTCACGTTTTCCACTGCCAGTCAGCAGTGACGCTCCCCAGCCCAGTACATCCTGCTGAATATTACGCGTCAATCTGTGGGGGACCCCCCCTCCAAAGCCCAACCAGCGTGGCCCGACTCACGCCGGCGGGAACAGCACATCGCCACGGACCATGTCCGGCGGCGCATCTTTACGTCCTGCCCTTTTCTGGCATCTCCACTGTACCCCACGCGGCCGCGGCCGCCGAGACTTTTCCGGCAACGGGCTTGGCGGCCACCGTTCTGATGAATTCATCATCATCTCTCACTATGAGTAGATCTTTCGACAACGCCGTCCCGGGTATATGGTTCATCGTCCAAAACATTATCATTATTGATATTTTTTGCATGGTCCGACCGGTTTGAAACCGCTATGTACGTGCAGATGGCCATCATTCTTCTGCCCGCTCGACGCCCGTGTGGGAAAAGCGCCCAACATACCTAGCCGTGTCCAGCTCTGGCGATATATCCCAAAAAGATGTACAAGAAGGTGAAGTAAGTCGATTTTGGTATTCAGACACTATCATTACGAGAAGAGAAACTCCTTGAGCACTGGCGACCCAGAAAACTCGGGATTCAACATTATACAACTATAGATCGTTAGCAATCATCCGAAAGGCATCTACTGCATAGGCTTTCGCAGACGCACTTGAGAAAATACTGTAGCCCCGCCCTCCTCTTATCGAGGAAACGGGGCCGGAATTTGGATATCACACTCTTGGGTGGTAGAGGTGGTACTGCTGCTTCGAAATTGGGGAACGTCTTGACCAACTTTTCACGAAGGTCGTCGAACTCGGAGTATCGCTTTCGTATGTTCATATAGCTCCCCTTCATACTTCTTGTCAGCAACTGCGCTAGTAACCTCGGATTGTGCTCCTGTGCTCTTTGAGCCTTTCTTCTTCCAGCCAGGGATATTACTGACTTGCAATGTCTCGACTCTTATGTTCCAAACAACAAACGCCCCAATGTTGGTTGCGCTGCCGTTCACTACGACATAGTCGGTAATCTCGACGCTCTTTGCCCAGCAGGCTCGGTTTCGACCGTTGATGTCGCTCGCTTCGTTATCGTGCATTGTGATCGCGCCTGCAGGCAATACTGATTCGACCGACATGTTGGAAACTGAGCGCTGGTGGTGGCCAAGCCAATATGGAGGCGACGTTACTGATGACGGACTTGTCACTGACGACTCAGTTGGCGACTCCGTCTCTTCCTCTTCATCCTCCTCGTCTCCAAACAATCCGCCCCGCGTGTCATTATTGTTCTGGCGCGACAGTAGCCCTCGAATGGCTCCGTCCGTGGCGACCTTGTGTGAAGGTTTAATACGGCCGTTCGCGGCGCCGTTGAGACTGCCGTTCGGTCGGAACTGGGATTCTATCGCCGAGTCCATGAATCCATGTGTGAGGATGGTACCTCATGGACAACCGTGATGTTGTATTCAAGATGCGATGTGCTCAAGGGCAGCGAAAGTGCAAGGCGGTTGTGACGTATTGGCCGCCGTATGACGATATCAAGAGTCAGTCTTAGGTAGCTTGACGAAAGACCTGTCTCGGGGCGCTTGCTGGACGCCGTTCTGTTAGGGTGGTGCCGCGTGGCTGTGCAAATCGACCAAGAGTGGAATGGCGGCCACTTTGGCTAAGGCGGACAGAAGCTGGAATGTTGATTGTATAGTACGTTGCTGGTGATGTTACTTTGGGGCGGCGATTAGTCGGCCCGTGAGATACAACGGGACCTTCTGCAAATGCACGAAAGAACAAATAGGCAGTGCGCCACTTAGCGCAGCTTTGTCGCTGGAAGAAATTCATACGATCTCGGGACAGTTGAGAGGACTCTTTAAGCAAGACTGAGGAGGTAATTGTTTACAAAATAATTACCTGCAGCTCCCCGGGTGAGATCCATGCGGATAAAGCATGACGATAAGAAAAGCTCCTACCACTAACCTTACCTTACCTGTATTCGTGCCTTCCCGCGGCTCGTCCTTCCTCTCACGTCTGTTGGTTCGTGCAAGAAAGGAAGGACCCTTCTGAGACAGTGCTTCTGCTTAGCTAACAAACAATAATAGTAGCTTCCTCCTGTAAGAAAGATCCCTGGTAAATCGGGAATAATACAAATTGAATGAACAAAGTGCCACTGCCATTCAGAATTGACCACATTATTCGCACGAGTATCCGCAACTATTCTTCGCCAATCTCGGATACGAGATGATGGTAGAGCTGTCATCCTATACGCGGGAAAGTGGTACACCTTGCACAAAGCTCATCCATCCTACAGGTTTTCGGTGCGGGATACCACGCCTTTTGTTTCCTTGCGTCTGTCCCGCACACAACTGCGACTGGCTCTCGGACTTTGACAATACTCGGCGCAGGGTGTTGACAAGGTGATGCTGACGTCTAATGAGCTACCACGCCAGGAGGAAGACCGGTTGCCGCGCTTAGGAGGAGATCTCCATGCACACAGCATCGGTCATAGAAGACATTGGCCACGATCCCGTCTGCTGCGACAATAGCAGGCCGCTCCAACGCTATGGACACGTACACTACGGTTACAAACACACTCCCAAATCCCAACACATCGGTGCGGATACGAAGATGCAGAAACCAAGCCGCGGGGAGTTGGAGGGTTGACACCCACGACACCTTCTCAACTAGCGCATCTCGTTGAGCAGGGGGGTTAGTCTTCGGCTTCCATTTCGATTCTACGTCGTCTACCCCAGTGCGTCCCTGTTGGCCGCTGGCAGACTTCTCGGTACTTGCAAAGTGCATTGCAACGACAACACGGTCAGACCTAAGACCTCTGTTTTCGAAAGCTGAACCCAGCGCAGACGAGACATCCGCAAAGGCTCGCAATCGCCAACGCCCTGCCAAATTGACAGGTTCAGTTGTGGCGGCTGGTTGTCCATTCTTGACATCGACCACGGGCAGCCCAATGGCACTTTGAAGGGCATTTTGGCCGTCAACCGGGTGGTGTCAGCACTCTGCTACGACTTGTCTACGGAGTAAAAATAATAGAGAAATGCATCTATGCGGAGACGTTGGGGCGCTTGGGATCGTCGCCCCGGAGGAAGGGGTCTCGGAGGCAACAGACAAGATCCGGCCGGAGCCAACCACCTCAATATTCAATTTGAATATCTGGAATCAGCGACTCAGTGCCAGCCCTTCCGATCTCACTGTGTGGTGGATAAGGATGAACTTTCAAACAGTCGACGTCCACCAAGCTGCTCTAGACGGCACAACCATACATACTAGCTGCATTGGCTGTCCTGCACAACGGCCTTGGTTGGGGACAAGACTGCAGAATACGAGTGGCGATCAGCCAGTGGGACGCCGGGAACAGCGATAGCTGTGCTTCATATGGATACTCCGTACAGAGTACACATCATAGAACTCAGCGAGTGGTGTCGAGGCCCTCACGAAAGAGAAAATGCCGGCGGTTGGGAGAACCCCACGGACTCACCCACACGCTTCCCGGCAGGCCGAAAGGCACAACTCTGCAGATGGTGGTCTCGTAAAGTTGTGCTAACAAGGAGCCAAGGGGAGGATAAGAGGGGCTGGCCCTGTTTGGCGGCGAAGTTTACTGCACAATAAGGTGGTCTTGGCTCCATAACTTTCACGCCGCATTTTATGGAGAGCATCGAGACAGTTCCAGTGTTTTGCAACCTCGTAATCAACAATGGGTCTGGTCATCCGACCTGCAAAGTCGCACTCAAGTGGGAATTCGACTGGTTTG